ATATGTCAATCATTGTAATCGGTTCCCCCCTCCTTCCCCCTACCCTCTTGGTATTGCTACTCCCATTTCTGTTCCTGAGGAGTTTATCTGCCCGTACTCTATTGGTCAAGAGCTCTTATCTGTACCAGTGTACATGCTCCAGTCTAGCCAGATTTGTAAGGTAGAAATGGGGTCACAATGGGGGTGGGGGGCGCAGGCATTAAAGAATTAGAGGAATGTTTTGTGGAGAAACACTATTCTTTATGTTATATGTTGATAACAATTTGTCTAAATACTTTATTCCTCAAAGTCATTTTGGCTAATAAATTATTCTTGGCTCATATTTTCTTTTGCAAATATCTTAAGATAGGTACCGCTTATACTCGTGTATAAGCCGAGTTTTCAGCACATTTTAATGTAGTTTTTGTGGTAAAATTAGGTGCCTCGGCTGATATTGGGTCAGCTTATACTTGAGTATGTATGATATCTCCATTGGAAGGCAGTGGGCTTTAAGAGCAAGTTTTAGAGCCTAGGGTCAGAACATATGAACATTTTAATTGCCCTTGCATCATAATGTCATATTTCACTTTCTAAAGGAGTAGTGCCTTTTTTATAGTTCCACCAGTATAGCCATAAAATCTTGTATAAATGCAAGGCTCTTAAACATTTAGCATATATGATTTCTCACCACAACAGGTCATAGAAGATGTCTTTTTCTGTGAAGGATTTATAAACATGATCTAGAAGCCTGTAGATTTTCCTCCTTAAAGCTAAAGGGAAACACCCACGTTTTACTAGGCTGCTCACTTCACAAAGCTTTATCAACATATTTGGTATGTCTTGAGCCTGGCACAGAGCCTACACATGGTTGGTTGGTTTATTTTGGGGGGGAAGGGGGCAAATGTCATGGTCCACCCCCCCCACCCCCCCACACCAGATAGGAGTATTCAAGGTAAAATTTTCATTACAATTTTTTTGGTGGTAGAATGGTGTGCACAAGTGACCTTTGTGTATCCTTAACAGTCACTTAAAAATATTTGGCCTTGTTTGCTGAGAATTACTCTCTTTGTTGGGTTCCTTTGCAAAAATAAAAAATCCTCAAGCAAGATAAAGAGATTCAGACAGCCAAGAACCTCTACTGAAACCTTCCATCAGGACTGCATTTAAAGCATTCTAGGTTTCCATGGTTCGTGTTATCTTAGAGCAGGGCTGTCAGACTCAGTTAAAACGCCGGCCATTTGGTCCAATAGGCACGATTCACGGGGGCCACATCACATTTACAGGTTTTGTTACATTTATATTTTGAAGTGAGGATTCAGGAATATGGATAGGATAATTAAAGCATATAATTGCCTTTATTTAAACATTCATTTTATTTAATGTATTTATAAAACTAAAATTATTCTTTTTTACCCGAAACTTGCCAGCACTTTACTCCTACTAGTTTTCACTTACCTCTTATGTTGTGACCAGAAAATATAACAAAGTAATAAAAAGCGCAAAATGTTGGACAGCTGACAAACAGTGATGCACAATCGTAATGGCTTCCTTCTAAAAATGTTAACTAGCGCTGCCGCTAGGTATGATTCTTAACAGCACAACCCAGAGTGCTCTTTTTAACCTTTTCGCTGTTGGGATCTGTTTACATTACATGTCACTGAGAGTGGCAGACACGTCGCTTCCAAATGTTGCTGGAACTGAAGTCAGTGCATCTATTCACGGCCACAGGCCCCTGGGAAAGACACTGGGCCACGCGTATACGTGTCTTCAGTAGTTAAGGGTAAACGAGGGAAAATGTGTGCACGGTATTGCCTTGATCTCTGCTAAGCGCTCTTTTCTTAATAACAATTTTTCCTATTTTCATTTTGTTTCAGAGCATAGTCAGGCAACAAAAAATTACCTTGAGGCCTACATGTGGCCTTGGGTTGCCGGTTTGACACCCCTCTCTTAGCCCTATAACGCTGAGTGCAACGTTTTCATAACATTTGATTATAACATTTTTTATAAATCCATGGACGCATGTGACAATTTGGTTACATTTTTAAAACATCGCAAAATTTATATATTTCAAAATATATTTTGGTTGTTACATATATTGATAACTATGAAAGTAAAGAATAAAAACAAACATTTTTTTCCCTGAAATTAAAAATCAGGCATTACAGGGTTATAGTATCTTGTGAGTTGATCTTGTGTAACCAACCTCTGTGGTCCCTACTTTGAGCTAACTCTGTTTCTTATTTTTCACAGTGAACATAAAGATTCTGAAAAGAAACACAAAGAGAAGGAGAAAACCAAACACAAAGATGGCAGCTCAGAAAAGCATAAAGACAAGCACAAAGACAGAGACAAGGAAAAAAGAAAGGAGGAAAAGGTACAGTATTTTTCATTGGTGCTGAAAAATAAGAAAAACTATTTTCCTTTTTTAAAAGCGGGGAGTAAGAATATCTTCATTGCACAGTTATTTTTTGTAACAAGGTTTGTTGGCAGATGTGAAAAGGTCTTTGTTAGGAGACTCAGAGCTAACTCCTGACTTCGGAAAACTAAATCCATTGCTATCATGTTTCTCACACTAACAAATCTATCCATATTACTGCTGTATTTGCTTCATATGGTAAATGGAGAGAGATCGAAGGCAGTAGCATTTCTGGGAATGTTCCTTTTTTTCTTTGGGGGGAAAGTGCTTGATTTGGGGAAGACCTATTGCCATGTTGAGGGCTCGTCCCTTAATAACTAGCCTTCTCATGCACTCATCTTTCTGGGATGGAATACTATTATATGCAGATCTTTAAAGAAAACACTATTGCTTTATTGTTTTTGTATTAATGCAGTTGATACTTGACAAATTCAGGCAGTTTGAAATTGGAAATACAGTGGGAAGAAAACAACTCCTTTTCATCTCTTGACTTAACTGCCCTCCATCTTCCTTCATTATCTTTTGTGTCCTTCATATGACACTCTGAGGTATATGTGTGTCTGTGTGAGGATTTTTGAAAGATCGTGTCTGGAAAGTGTCAATAGTGGGAGAGTTGAAGGAGAGGGAGAATATGGGTGTACTTTGCCTGAATCAGAGAAAGCAAGAAATAGACGATTTTGTTTCTTCTCGGCACTGCCAATGGCAAATCCTTTGGAGGTAGAGTGTATTTTTTGAGGGAAAGAGAGCTACCATCATTTAAAGGAAACAATTTTGAAAGGTTGTTTTCCAATTAATTGGGCAAGTACTCAGCCTGAAGAACCTTCTAAAACTAGTCTTGGAAAAGTATCCAGTGCCTTAGTTTCACTCAGTTCCATTTTGCTCACAAGGAAGAGCCAACCTGGGATCAAGATGCCCAAGAGTTTGAAAGCTCATGTTCCTCTAAAAAACGCGCTGCTGCTTCAGATTCCATCCTCCCAAAATACTAACCATTTACTGCTTTTTGACCTTTTAGATTAGAGCGTCTGGAGATGCAAAAATAAAGAAGGAAAAGGAAAATGGCTTCTCTAGGTAAGATCCTCTGCTCTGCTGACTTCTCCTTTCTATGCATGTCCGCCAAGTCAACTGCCCACTTGCAGTGTTGAACATTAATGGAGTACTTTAATCATATTGACTGGCACATTTCCCAGGAATTTTTTGAGTGGGGAAAATGGAGAGGAGATAAGTGAGTACTTAAAAGTCTCCCTTTTTATTATAGATTTTAGTGTACATAAGCTTGTGTAGCCTCTTCACTATCTGAACATTTTCATCACCCTAAAAAGAAACTCCATACCATTAGCATTCACTCCCATTGTCTCCTCCTCTTAGTCCCTATCATCCACGACTCTGTCTCTATAGGTTTGTTTATTGGCAGGAAGAGATTCCAACTTAGACTTAAGTTTTGGGGATGGAAGTAGGTTAGGAGCTATATAGTAAATTTTAAATCTGTATGCACCTGTAGTTCACCCTGAGGTCTATGTATAATGAATAATCATATAGATGTTACTTCACCTGAATTTCAGATAGAGTTCTTTAAAATACTGTAAGGCGGATTTATTGTTACTGTCTCCTGCAAAGTGTTTTGCTTCCTTAAAACTTTAAACTTGCAGTTTGATTTGAGAAGAGATTGAAAACTCATGCCCTCTACCCAAAGTCCTTTAGTCAAGGAGCAGCAGGCGCCCTCTTCAGGCATGTTTTGTAACTGTTCTAGGAAAGACAGAATAATAAAAGCCAAAGAGGCATAAAGCTGTAAGCTACCCTGGGAATTCTGATTCCCTTAGCTACAATGACTGTGGTATAGGGTAATTCATCTTTATTTATGACAAAACCCAGGTCTTGTACTAATTAATACTAAGATATGAACAGACTCTGGATGTGGTATGTAACCCTGGATTCAGTTTAAGGCTTTTAGGGTTAGATGATTAGGAACCACACGCTCAGCCGGTGGTTTCTGGATCACTTTGCTGGATAGCTTGCTGGCTTACCCCCTTTTCTTGTAGGGAGTCCTTAGGCTTTGGCAGTTTTCTTAGTACATTGTTATAAGACTGGCTTCCTTTAGGTCTTGTGACCCTTCCCACTTATTTTTTACTGTCACCCATGACACTAATAGGACCTAGCAATTATTTAGCTAGTTGATAAATGAAAATGAATCCTTTCTAGATGTGTTGAGTATTTTTTTACTTGGGTAGGGTCACGTCAGGGATTTCAGAGTGGAGGTGAGGTGGGGCTGGTGGGGAGACAACTATAGAAAACTAATGTCTTTAAATCATAATTGTGGGGCACTCTTTGTGTCTAAAATGAATAAATCCAAGTAGGAAGTTCTGCGTAGATGTCCTAATTTTATCAGTGTCATTTTTTTCCTATAGCTGGATTTTTAGATATATTGTTAACAGATTTTTTTAGAGCTTGGGGTACTTCATTTGGAAGTAAATTTTTACTCTTTATTACTGAAGGCCATATTTTAGCTTTTGAGGTGTTAGGGGATCGGTTATATTATAAACCCAAACCATCTCATTTCTATCGACTTGATGCCAACTCATAGCAACTGTGTAAGAGAGGGTAGAGCGTTCCTTCTTAGTTTCTGAGACTAGTAGAAAGCCTCTTCCTTCTTCATTGGTGTGGCTGGTGGAACTTTTGATTCACAAGCCAATACAGAACCACTACGCCATCAGAGCTCCTTCGGATACTTAAATAAATCATGTATAAAAGGCAAGGCTTATTTATGTTCCTTTTAGGTTCATTCCTGTTTGGGTTTGTCATGCTGTAAAATGGAATCTACAATATTATGAAACACTTTACCTCAGTATAAGTGTCCTGAACCCAAATTTTTATGTATTTCTCCCCGATCTATGTAATGGGCTTTTAATGTTGTCTGCCTCACGGGGTTGTAGTGAAAATTCAGTGAGAAAAAGTACTTTTGGAAAACCTTTATGTTACATTGCTGTTACCCTTCCATGAGCTGCCTAAGTGGGCTGGTTTATCTTTAGATAATTAGTGTAGGGTAGATATTCTTTCACCTCTTGGTGACCAGCAGCTTTTTTCTCCTTAGTCCACCCCGGATTAAGGATGAACCTGAAGATGATGGCTATTTTGCTCCTCCTAAAGAAGATATCAAGCCATTGAGGAGACCTCGAGATGAGGATGAGTGAGTATTTCTTATATTTGGCATTTGAGAAAGGAGCAGCTCAAAGCATTTAGAAGTAAATTTTTACTCTTATTACTGAAAGGAGTAGCTTAAAGCATATAGGTATGGTGTATGTCTCGGAAAAACCGTTAGTTGACTTTTCATTCGTTTGGAATTTGTGATTAATGTGGACAAGTAATTTCTCCTTGAATTATATATGAAAAGTGGGGCTTGCTAAACAAATAAGTATTGTGCTAGAAATGTACATGGACATTGGCGGGGAGGTGGGGGCCAGAAAGTTTGTGGAACCATGAAATCAGAGGCTAATGCAATTTTACCACAAATTTTTGATGCTGCTTGTATGTCTGCATTGAAAAACAAACAGAACAACAAACTATGTTCCTGATTGTAAAGGTAATGCCTACTTATTATATATATTTCAAGTGCTGTAGACTTCATGAAGAACATTTAAGTCAGTTACAATAATTTCACCAACCAACTGTACCTATCCACACATTCTAAGTGAAATTTCATTTGTGTAGAAGTAATAAAATTGCATTTACTCAAAATTTGAAGGCTCACATTGTACCCCCTTTATCGGTGAAGTGAATTTTCTACAACTTATTTTCAGTTCATTCTAGGAATCTACAATGTGGTAGAAAGTGGGTGTAGGGAGAAGAGAGGCACGGTGAACTTTATACTGTACAGAATTCATCTCTTCCCCTTCCCAGCCAGTTTCTACTGTTAGGTAGCCATTGGTTTGGTTTCAGACTTATATCTTAACTTATATGATGGTTGTTGCTGCGTATATCCCTTCCATTCCACTTCCTTTCCATGCTGGATATAATACACTGTTTACTTTAGAGCCTGTACAAGGTGATAACTATTGGTCCTTGGTCTAGCCTTCATGCTATTTACTCTGTGTCCAGTCCTGTTGCCCTTGAGAAAGCGCAGCCAAGAATAACAACCACCACAACTGCCTTGGAGGATTCCAAGAGTTTGGAAATCTTGATCCTGAGCGAGAACTGAGAACTTCTGAGTCATTTTAATGGCATATTCATGTCCCTCTTTCTAGTGCTGACTATAAGCCTAAGAAAATTAAAACAGAAGATACCAAGAAGGAGAAAAAGCGGAAACTAGAGGAAGAAGAGGTTAGTAATGAGACATGGTCCCACCGTGGATTGAATTTGGGAGAAGATGTTTCCATAAAACAGTTTTTGAAGGCAAATAGGTTTTGGTCTGTTGTTTTGCTAACACACTGGCAGGGGGAGTGGCAAGACAAAACACACACACACACCACCACCATCACCATCAGCCCACCCTCACCTCCATCCCCACCCCCACAGGGAAGTAATAAGTGCTCCTAAAGTTAAAGCCCTTTTAGTTAGCCACACCCTCCTTTACTGTCTTCTGCTAGCCTTCCCAGCCTAAGAAACTCATGCCTGCTCCTAGCAATTGAGAATAATTTTCTGGAGAAACTGTGCTGCTTCCTTCTTACAAAAAAGACCGTAAGGAGGAGGTTACATTTAACACCATAATGGAGATGAACTGTAGAGAGATGATCTGCTCCTGGATGTCGAGGATTGGGGTTTTCCCTGACAACTTGGCGAGTCTTTGTCATGTGTCGAGAAGAACCAGGAGAAATATTCACAAGAAACTACAGTTTGCCTTACAGTCCTGAGGAATTTCTCTTAAGAATGTTCTTTGGTGCTCTCTCACATTTAGCAGATCACTGTCTTTAGCTTCCCTTTTAAAAACTTTCTAGTGTGTGTCTCTTGAAGGTAGCTGTGTGCCTCAACTCCCCATGTGGTCCCAGCACCTCTGTTCATCATGTGCCTCCCTTCTCCTGCTCATAGTGTTCCAGCCACACTGGCCTCCGTGGTCTCCTTTACGGACAAAGCTCATGCTGTTCCCTCTGTTGGAAACATGCACACTCTTTCCCCTTTCTTTTCCTGGCTTATGACCTTTCTCGAAATTTCCTTTCATTTAAAGTACTTTTCCAAGGGCTCCTCTGATGTTTGTGGTAGGCTAAGAATAAAATAAAATGTGGTCTTTTGAAACTTTTTCTTATAGGGAAGCATTATTAGCAAGGAATCAAAAGAAAGCTGTGTCAGAAATGCATGCACTCTACTGGGAGCAGATGGTTGAGCGAGTGTAACCCTTAGACTGCATTTGAGATTAGCCACTGACTCAGGCAAAATGGTCCCAGTCTTGCATAGTAAAGGACTTGAAATACCAGCAATAATGATAGCATGATAGTAAAGGTCAGTGAGTCTTAGAGCCTGCCGTAGTGGTAGTTGGAATACTATTAGTAACTCCAATTAATTAAATGTGTGCTAGGAACTAGCCTGCATATTTAGTATGTACCTACCTTTACAACTATAACGTTATTAGTGTTTCCACTTTACAGGTAGAGAAATGGAAGCACAATCAGGTTAAATCTTTGGCCTTTGTTCACAGTTACTAAGTGGTAAAGCCAATATTTGAACCTGTGCAATCTGCTGCCAGAGTCTGTCAGAACACTGTCTTCAATACTCTCATACCTGCCATTCTGACTTCTCAATGAGGGCGGAGATATCTTCAAAGAGGTCACAGTAAGCATATTAATGAGTTCATATCCAGGATAGAGATGTCTAGCTAGCTTCTGGATGTAGAGAATTGAAGTTTTACCTGACAACGAGTCATTTATTGCTTTAGAAGAGAGGGTGGCAAGTCTTTGTTACGTTATCTATTGGAAGGAATAGTCCCTGGAGAAGCACATCATGCTTGGTGCAGTAGAGGACCAGTGAAAAAGGAAACTCATGAAGAGATGAATTGACATAGTGGCTCCAACAATGGGCTTAAACCTAGCACGGATGGTGAGGAGCTATAGGGCCAGGCGGTATTTCATCCTCTTGTTCATGGAGTCGCTGTGAGTTGGAACCAACTTGATGGCACCAAACAACAAAGACTGTAATTGGCAAGAATTCAAGTTAGTGAGAGCCTACTCTGAGTTCTTCATGCTTCTCCCTTGCTTTCATGTTTGTATTACATGTGTGCAAGTAAGATCTCTGAATTTGGAAGCTATTAGTAATAATGGTTAAACCACTTGGAAGAAAAGAATGATGGACTTTATTTTTTATTCTATTTAGCAGCTCTCTCCTTTCGGGAAAGAAAATACAGACTGAAAGACCTTGGGGAATAATACAGTTTTATTGTGACAGGGACCCCAGATGGCAGTATCAGTCGTGAAGCTGGTTCTTTTATATCCCCCACCCACCCATGTTTGTTTGTTTCTGGGAATTGTTCTGAAGTCTCTTGGTGATTGATTACCCCATTTGAAGCTTGAAAACATACATTGTAGCCAGTGGTTTCCTGATGGGACCATCTGCACGCCTGTTCAGAAGCTTTTAAGAGAATGTCTCAACGAAAAATCATTTCCTTTTCCTGTTTTTAGCCCCAAATAGTAAACATGTAAATTAATGTTATTCTCTGGAGCCTTCTCCATTTACTTTTACAAACTCAACTGCTGTCAAGTCAGTGCTGACTCAAAGCGACCCCTCTGGGTTACCAAGACTTCGTGTTTGCAGGACTAGAAAACCCAGTCTTTCTCCTGAGGAGCCTGGTGGTTAGTTTCAAACTGCCAACCATGTGTCTCTTAGCCCAACTACACCACCAGGCCTCAGATGCGCTTAGGCTTTCTTAAATACACTTGTGGCATTATAGGTTTTCTAACTCTTTCTCTCTGGTCACTTGCTTATAGGTCAAGTTTATTCCTATCTTGATTGTTATCTAGTTATTCCTTTGAGTCACATTCTGTTTATTTTTCTTATATACTTGGACACCCCACCACCAAATTATGGTCAGTTTTATTACCTTGAGCCAATGACAGACCTTCTCTTTCAAAGTTTATTCATTGTAATTTGGAGAGGTCGAATCAAAATTAGAAGAGTTCTTTCCTGCTCTACCTTCCTGTAACTGATTTTAAAATGGCGGCAAACTACCTCTCCTTTGTATGCATGACTTGTAATGGCTTAGGTTATCTTAAATATTTGGGGCAAAGGAAAACATTCTTTAAAAAAGTTGATTTTGCTAAATTGGAGTCCCACCGGTGAATATCTTATAGTTGTCTGAGTATGTGTGTGTGGAGATTTACCTCATGTGTTGTGGAGTTGCACTTATATTTGATGTTCTCTTTAATTATATGTCACTCTTACTAAGGTATGTAGGTCACAGTTCAAAAGGAAGCATAGAGAAGCTCCTTCATTTCAGGGCCTCCCCGGTATTGCTCACTACTGATGACTCTATAAACAAACGGGTGATGTGATAGAAAACATCCTCGACTAGAATGAATGGGAAATATTCTTTTCATATTGAAATTTAGGTACCTGATATGAAAGCTTCCCATCTCACTATTGGATGGCATTGGAAGAGGTTTAGTTTTAGCAGATTTAAAATAAGTAAGGTTAGTAGACTAGGATTATTTGCCCTAGTAGTAGTTTTCTAAATTCCTTTAATGCTAAAAATTTCCCAGGCTCTTCCCCTGCACAAGTGGTATAATTGATTTTCTAAAGTAATTGGGATGCTCGAGAAAATAAAGCTCCAGGGAAGAATCTTAGGAAATGGTGATGCTCCAGAAAATAAAGCTCCAGAGCAGAATCTTAGGAAATGTATTCTGTCAAACAGTGGAATTGTGCCCAAGACCTTTATTTCTAATATGATTCTAGTTTTTCTTTTTTTTTTTTTCTTTTACATTTTCAAAATTTTTCTTCTTAATGGCCCCCAAACTACTTCTAGACATGTGGTTAATCCTCGTTTAAGTATTCTCATCATGCTTCTTTGTAGGATGGTAAATTGAAAAAACCCAAGAATAAAGATAAAAAAGTTCCTGAACCAGATAACAAGAAAAAGAAGCCTAAGAAAGAAGAGGAGCAGAAGTGGAAATGGTAACACCTGGGCGCTGGGTCAAAGTCTTAGCTCTCTTATTCCACAACCTCCTTAAACAAGACTATTGGGTTTTTAAAGTCAGTAGCCTGATGTTCGGGTGGGGTGGGTGGGGTGAGCACTTAGGAGTGCATTGTTTTTAATAAAATAAAGCTGTTGAAAGTTAGGTTATTAATGGAGGTCTGTGGTGGATACTCAAGTGCATGTTCTTTGTCATCAGTAGCTCATTACTATCTTGGTATTTCCCCTTTCCCTTTGGAGCCTTGGCTGTGTTGGACCCCAAAGCAGATAGATTTACTGTATCCCAGCTGGTATGTGAACAAGTAGGTGCTTTTAAGGAGTTTAATTCCCCATGTTACTTTTTGTGGATTGAAATCCTTATCAGTGTTGCCATTTTTTTAATTTGGAGGGACCGTTGATTTTTAATCTTGTTTGCGATTAAGATTAGTCTTTAAAATTAATAATGTTTGGTTTGGAGGAGAACATTCTTTGCTACACTGATGATGTTTTTCTCCAGTCCTTTTGTTAAACTCTGCACGTTGGTCCCAAGCACGATGTTTGGTCCACTGACAGTCTGTGTTTAGAGGTAGAAACAGCAGGAGCACATGGTCTCTTTACTGACAACTTGCCCTTTCCTCTGTACTCAGAGGCTGCCCGTTCTCTGAAGTCAGCGGTTTGCCTCCATGATTCCCCTGGCCATCTAGGCAGAGAATTTAAAAGGGCAGGCAGTCCAGTTTTTACTATTCATATTGCAACGCTGCACAAATAATGTATGCACTTCACAAAAGCTTGGCAAATATACATTTCCCCCATAGAAACAAGTGTTATGGCAGAACATACAAACTCCTCCATAAAGAAAACCCAGTCACTGACTTTGGGTTAAGTACACCTATGTGTTTTGATTGGCTTGTTGGAACATAAATCCCATCTCAATTCTAAACAGTTGATTCTTCACAAAAACTTAGAAGCTAGGGACATAAAAGACTTATTGCCTGGTGTTAGGTAGGACTTTAAAAGGGAGTTTTGAGCTTCTTAACAATAGTAACAAGCTGTAAGGAGTTATGGTTATGATATCTAAATACTTCTTAAAAGATAAGGACCAGTAAATGCAATCATTGATAGCAATAAACTTATGGAATATGGATTATTGACATTTCTCTCAAATCGGATAAATTGATCTTAAACATTAGCTTCTAGGAATTTGTCGTGTGTGGCTTTTATTTCTGATTTATAAAATATACCATAGGTTGTATTGTACAGTATACTGTGTGGTACTTGTTAACCATATTAAAGGAACTTGACTTTGGACGGTGGGTATTGATTGCCCTGTCTTATTCATTTCTAGCATGCTTGCACTTTCAGCCTTTCAAACAAGTTTTATTGTAAAATTCATTACTAACTTGAATCTATAAGTCATGTGTGTCATAGAGAAATCATTTTAATGTCTTAAAGTGGCTTTTTTTTTTAAAATCAACCTAATTTGGGAAAAAAAAAAAATAAAGTTGGCAAAAGGGCCAACGAATGGGCCGCCAACGCAAAGGCAACAAGTCCAAAACAAACAAATATCCCTTGGGAGCAAGAGAGCAGGGCTCTCAACTTCCACCAGGAGTTACAGTCTCGGAAACTCATGGTAGTGGTTCTGTGCTGTCCTGTTAGTCAGCATTGACTCAATGGCGGTGAATTTTTGGTATCTATAAGACAGCTAGTTGACTCTTAAAATGTGAGGGTGGTGAGAGTTCTGTTTGAGAAAACAGACCTGAAGCAGTCGCTATATGTAATTCTTAATTGGATCCCGGTCTGTAAATTTTTATATAATTGGGAATTTTAAAGTGTATCGATTGGGTATTAGAATGATACTAGGGAATTCCTTAACTTTACTAAGTTGTGATAATAGTTATGTAAGAACAGGGGCAGTTATGAGCCAGAATGGGCTTGATTGCAGCGAGTGTGCATTTTTTTAGTTCATCAGAATAAAAACTGACTTTTAAAAAAAGTTATGTAAGAGATACTTGCTAAACTATCTGGAGGTGAGGTGGTATGTCTGCCATTTATTTTGAAATAGTTCAGCCAAAATAGGAAACTTGGCAAGATATTAAGTTATTACATACAGGCAGTTAACTGTCTCTGATTGCCTGAAAGTGCCATAAACTCACTGTGCTCCCACTGAATTTTATTTCCCAACCTTACTTTTCAATTCTGTACTTTCTTCTTTGTTTCCCCTGTCCTCTCCAGTCTCAGGAAGCCTTTTCCTGCATCGTAATAGCTAAGACATATCTCTGCTATGTATACCATGTTGGTAAAACTGTGACTTGGAACCATTTCAAAACAATAGAGTTACTAGCCAACAGAAGAAAGGGCAGTGTACACATTGCTTAACAACCAAATCTCTTATGTAGCAGATTTTGACCTGAGCAGGAACCAGGCAATGATGCCCTGCTCAACGATGGTACTGACTGTGCTGCTTTAAATGTGTCAGCTGTCATCTTTAAGTGGGGCCAAACCCTAGCCAAAATTTGCCATAACTACTCGCATTTCCATATGTTGTGGAGCTATTTGAACAACAGTCTCGTGTGTGTGTGTGTGTGTGTGTGTTGTTTTGTGTCTTCCACTCTGCACGCACCAAAAATTTGTGCAAGTCTATTATCATTTAATTCTTATTTTCCAAGAACTTTTGAAGCTCCCTGATTGTGTATAAGAGCAGCCCTAGAGTGTATTGGTTTCTTCCCTGGCTGCAAACCTCAAGGCCAGCAGTTCGAAATCTATAGCTGCTCCACAGAAGAAAGACAAGGCATTCTACTCCTGTAATGAATTACAGTCTTGGAAAACCACAGGAGCAGTTTACCCTGTCCTCTAAAGTCACTGTGAGCCAGAATTGAGTCACTGACAGTGAGTTTGGATTTTGGATGTATGTCTGTAATAATTTTATTTCGTTGTTGAGAACATACACCAATACAATATTTCACAGGTTTACAATTCAGTAACATTGATTATATTCTTTGATTTGTATGGCCATTCTCAGCTTTGACTTCTGAGTTGTTTCTTCCCCAATTGTACATATTACTGTCCCCTTAAATTCTTGCCTAATATTCCAAGTTGCTATTTTCTATTGTAGGTAGTTCTTCAAAAAGCATAATGCTCAAAGCAGACATTTTTTTACTACTTGAAGGCTTTAGGAGAGTGATGGTTTAAAAATGATCACAGGGCAATTTCTTCAGGAATTCATCATAGCTCTAGGAAATCTGGAGTCTGAGGATTGTATATTCCGTTCTGCAGGATTTTGACATAAAATCCTCAATCAAAATGTTTGGTATTGCTCTCGCGGCCAAGGTAGGGGCAGGAGGGGAGCAGTTGTTCTTGGAGGAAATAAGCCTCGTACTCCTTATTTTTCTCATATAATTGACTCTTATTCTTCTGTTACTCCAAGTAGACACCAATTATTGTATACTATACCTTGAATGCCCATATGAAGGCGTATAAGATCCAAAGCACCACACAACAGACTAGGTCAATCGACCACTAAACATGCTATTAGGCCAACTAATTGGGTTGTGCCCCGAAATGGAACAAATCTCCAAACTAAAACCTATGAGGATTTGGGCTGTATATAACCATCCTCTGGTGACTCTTTATTGTTGTTGCAGATCTAAATGTATACCACACCTTTTGCCAGTTCACCTTTTTATGTGTATAAATTATTGTCAGCAGTTAACAATAATCAGCTGTGCAGTCCACTCTTAATCAACATGCTATCTCTTATCACCATTAGCTATCTTTCTCCTTGTCCTGGGTAATTACTAATAAACTTTGGTCTCTGTACACTTATCTTTTTATACAAGTGAAAGCACAGAATATTTGTCCCCCGTTTAATTATATATTTTTTTCACTCAGTATAGTGCCTTTCAGATCCATTCATACTGTTTCAAGTGTCAAGACTTCCTTTCTCTTGCTGCGAAATTACTCCATGCTATATAATACCACATTTTGTTTTTCCATTCATGTGTTGATGGGCATTTATATTATTTCCACTTTGCTACCATGAATTGTTCTGCAATGAAAATTGGTGTGCAAGCCTCTGTTTGATACTGCTTTTAAGTCTTTTGGAGGCTTTAGAAAGTTCACGATATTAAAAGATAATTAGATTTTTCCTTAAACATTAGCCTTCCTTATTGACTATGTAGTGGAATTACTGGGTTGTCTGGTTCAATTATGGTATGGGTGAAGAATATTAAAAATACTGAGGTCTACCAGAAGAAGAAACAAATATGCCTTGTAAGAAGCACACAATGCTCCTTAGAATTGGGGGTGATGAGACTTTTGTCTTAATGTACTTCAGACATAACAGGAAAGACCAGTCCCTTAAAAAGGACATCATTTTTGGTAGAGTACAAGTTCAGTGAAAAAAACGACCATCAAGGAGGTGGATTGATAACAGTGGCTCAAACATAGCCACAATTGGGAGGATTTTGCAAGATCAGGAAGTGTTCCTTCCGGTGCATTGGCATACTGTGAGTCAGAGATGACACTATAGTACCGCACAATTAAAACATAGCAAAGGGGTTAAAAAAAAATTGTAGAGAAACGAAACCATCCTTTAATTCCTTTTTTTTTTCCACGAATGCTTTAAAGCCCCTCATATTTCCCTCTTTAATTGATTATTCCATATTAGATATGATTGTTGGCATTTTGACAGTTTTTAAAATTTGGTTCTTGCCTATGGAGCCCATAGTCACCCCAGAACACCAGTGAGTGTAGGAAGTAATTATTGTACCATTTGTTGTTCTTAGGTGGCACAGAGTCCATTCTGACTCTTAATGACCTTGTGTACAACAGAAAGAAGTACTTGACCGCCCTGTGCCATCCTCACAGTTGTTCTTCTGTTTATTGTTGTAGCCACTGTGTTAATCCATCTTGTTGAGTCTTATTCTTACCCAAATGCTTTTCTAGAGACTGCTCTCTCCTGACAAGTTATCCATAGTACGTGCGATGAAGTCTGGCCATCCTTGATAAGACATACCTATTGTTCTTTTGTCAATCCATGCCATTTTCAGTATTCTTCACCAACACCATAGTCTAAATGCCTCGATGTTTCTTGGGTCTTCCTTATTCGTTGTGTAACTTTCACGTGCATCTGAGGTGATTGAAAATACGATCATTTTGCGCAGGTGAACCTTAGTCCTTAAAGTGACATCCTTGCTTTTTCCAGCAGATTTACCCAAGGCAATGCACCCTTGGATCTTTTCAGTGCTGCTCATTGATGGTGGATTGAAGCAAGATGAAATCCTTGACAACTTCAGTCCTTTCTCTGTTTTTCATATTACCTATTGATCCAGTTGAGGATTTTGTTTTCTTTACATTGATTTGCAAACGATATTGAAGGCTGCAGCCTTCATCCTCATCAGCAAGTACCTCAAGTTCTCACTTTTGACAAGCCAAGTTGTCATCTGTACATCTGCAGTTGCTAATAAGCTTAAGCTTTTCTCTATTTGCTCAGCATACCAATTGAATAAGTATGGGGATAGGATGCAACCCTGACACACCTTTCCCCTTCAGTGTTCCCTTGTTCTGTTCCCAACACTGCCTTTTGACCTATGTATAAGTTCTACATGAGCACAATGAATTATTCTGGAATTCTCATTCTTACCAAGTCTAACCAGTTTGTTGAGCTCCACACAGTTGTATGCCTTTGCATAGTCAATAGCATATACACAAACCTCTTTCTTGAGTTTTCTGTTTTCAATCAAGATCCATAGGATGTCAGCAATCATAATCAGTTATTACATGTCCTCTAATTTAGCCTGTATTTCTAACAGTGCCTTGTCAGTGTACTGCTGCTAACTTTGTTGGAAATCTTCAGCAAAATTCTACTTGCATGTGATGAATGGATACTGTTCTATAATTTGTGCATTTGATTGGTCACCTTTCTTTGGAATGGATGCAAATGGGGATCTCTTCCAGTCAGTTGGCCAGGTAGCTGCTTTCTAAGTTACTTAGCATAGACAAGTGCTTCCAGTGCTACATCAGCTTGTTGACACATCTCAGTTTGTATTCCATTAATTCCCAGTGCCTTGTTTATGGCTAACGCCTTCAGTGCATTTTGGATCTCTTCAGTACCATTGGTTCTTGTCCATATGCTCCCTCCTGAAATGGTGGAATGTCAAGCAGTTCTTTTTGGTTCGGTGACTATATTCTTTCTTTCCCCTTCTTTTTCTGGTCAAGGAGGCTTATTAAGGAAGTGAATAGTAAGGATACTATTGGTCTTCTCAGCCAGCAGCCAAGTCTCTCAATGATTGCGAGCCTCTCAACCACATGATAGCCACATCTCTCTATCTCTGGGTCTTTATCTCTCAGCCATGTGGTCCCTTAGCCTTTGCCTCCATAGACCAGGAGGCCAGTTGGCCTGTCACTCTGTCCCACAGTTGCATATTCTTGGGCCAGAGAAGATACCCCATAGTCTCTGAGCCACAGTCTGTGATGCATCTGGTCTCAGCGGCCTCCACCACTTCAGACACAGATCATGCTCTTCCACGATTCTCTGTGTTCTTTCACTGCTGCTACTTCAGCGGTGGCTCGTCCATATAGCTAGGGGAGTGGTAATGAGAACTGACTACTACTATTTATTATTGAACATTTTTTTAGTTCTTTCAGTTTAAGATATTCTGAGTGTGTTTTTACCTTACTTGATTTCTAACTACGCCTTTACATATTTCATTATAATATTTTGACTTTACCTTCTGGAGCTGCCCCTTGACGTTTTGTTTCGCTCATTTCTTGCACTTGCCTTAGCTGTTCTGTGATCAGGAACAAGTTTCAGGGCTTCTTCTGACATTCACTTTGATCTCTGTATTCTTTCCTGACTTTTTCATGACCTTTAGTTGTCTTCATGTATGATGTTCTTGATGTCATCCCACACCCCATCAGGTCTTCTGTCATTAGTGTTGAGTGCATCAAATATATTTCTTCAGGTTCAACCTGAACTTGCATATGAGCAATTGATGGTGTATTCACAGTCATCCCCTGGCCTTGTTTTGGTTGATCAGCCTTCTCCATGTCTGTTGCCTCTCCCAGATTAAGTCACAGTGATTTCGGTGTATTCCTTCTGAGAAGTCTCAGGTGTATAGTTACTGTTTATGTTGTTGAAAAAAGGTACTTGTTATGAACAGATCATTCATTGGTCTTGCAAAATTCTATCATGATCTCCAGCTGCATTTCTCTTACCAAGACCATATTTTCCAACAATCGTTCCTCCCTCTTTGTTTCCAATTTTTGCATTCTAATCACTTATAGTTATCGGTGCTTCTTGATTGCATGTTTGATCCATTTCAGACTAAAGACATTGGTAAAATTCTTAAATTTTTTCATCACTACCTTTAGTGATTGGGTGTAAATTCAAATAATAGTTGTATTGACTGGATTTGCTTCTATGCACATAGACAGCATTGTATTTGAAGATCTAAAAATGTCCTTTTTGATAATGAGTGCAACACTATTCCTCTTGATCGTGTAACGCCCAGTAGATAGTAAACCATATGGTTATTTTGATTCAAAATGCTAGTGACAGTTAATTTTAGCTCACTAACACCTAGGAAGTCAATCTTTTTGCATTCTGTTTCATTTTTCACTATTTTTAATTGTCCTAGATTCATACTTCACACACTGAAAGTTCAGTTATTAATAAAGGTTTGCAGGTGTTTTTTTTCTCATTTTGAGGACTGGCCCATCAGTAAATGAAGTTCTTGAAGGCTTTACTCCACCCACGTCATTATAGTCAACTCTACTTTGAGAGGGCAGCTCTTCCTCACATTTTGAGTGCCTTCTGAGGGCTTATCTTCTAACCCTATTTCTAACAGTGCTCTGCTGCTAGTCGTGAGAATTTTAGTATTTGACCATGTTCCTTTGTTATCTATAAGGTTGTCTGTCACTGGCTAGTTCCTCTGAAATGGACAGCGTATTCCTTCTTTGTAGTCTGTTTTCACTCTGAAAGCTCTGCTGAAACCTGGTCTCTCTGGGCGATCCTGCTTGTATTTGAAATACTAATCACATAGCTTCCAGCATCATAGCAACACATAAGCCACCACAGTATGACAGACTTACAGTCAAGTAGTGGGGTTCTGTCACTTCATTGGTTATAATCTCAATATTTGGGGAGCAATCACTAACCAACATTATTGTACCTTTTCAAGGTGGGAAGAAGAGCGCTATCCTGAAGGCATCAAGTGGAAATTTCTAGAACATAAAGGTCCAGTATTTGCTCCGCCATATGAGCCTCTTCCAGAGGCTGTGAAGTTTTACTATGATGGTGAGTTGTTCCACACTTGTCCAGTTTGCGGTTAAGCTAAGAATATGCTCTGTTGAGGGATGAAAACAAGGAATGATCTTTTACTATGTTATCCCTCGTTTTACTCTTTTTTTTTTTTTTTATCGTTTTACTCTTAAAGGCCTATTTAGTGTTTAAAACGGCACTGTGAGGAAGGAGCTTATCGTATCCTAGCTACATAGTCCAAAAAAAGTGCTATAGGACTCATAACATGGTTTGGAAACAACACGTATGTCTGAATTTCATTTCTAGAGAACTGTTCTTTGCATTACAGTCAATTAGAAAAGTTTTGCTTTAATGGAGTGTTGGGTGTGTGTTCCTCTCCCTTTAGCAATATAAACTGACAAGCTTCTTTCACTAGAGATAGTACTAGTAATTCCATTAACCTCTAAATTGGCACTTACTCTCTGTGGTACAGCACTAAGCCTTTAATATCTTATCAATCAAGTTTGATGAACTGCTTTGGAGAAATGCCCAGTTTGGGTCTATTAGAACTCTTAGGATTGCCCATGATCACATCAATATTCCTTTTGGGGATTAAGGGTGTTTGAAAGTGGTCGTGGACAATCCTATTGGTGGTGATGTAGTCTGCGGGTAGGAGTGGCCAGCTAATTTTTCTTGAGTTAAGCATCCTGTCCAGGAGCGCGACTAGAGCATCATTTCTAAAACCCTTCTGTGCTTTCAAGGTTCACCAGAGTGGATCTGAACTTATTTAATATCTGTGGAGTGAGATTAAATGATTGTGAAACACATGGTGTGCTAATCAAGCTTAGAGGTGCACTGGTCTGAAAAGCAGCACTGGTAAACCTTAGAAGAGCATCTTTTTATCCACCAACAATAGTCTCTCGGGGTCATGGTGTCTATAGATGTAGGTTTTTGGTTATACTGAAGGACTGGATTACCAAATTGCTAAACTTGACAAACTGCAACTCATTTTTAAGTTACATGCTTATGTAAATGTGCTTATGTTCAGCTGGACCAGATCCAGCAGTGGCTATCACTGACAGCTGTCTTGGGGCTTTTGCAGTTAGTCAGCAGTTCATAGCCCAACTAACAACCACATCAGTATTTTGACCCATGTTGACCAGAAAGCACAAGACAGAATCGACTCTCAACGCCGGCCACTTCCTGCAGCCTCAAATATAATTCAAGCCAAACCTTCTGTGTTAATTTGGGTTGACTAGAGAAATTCATGAACACTGATATGTGTATAAGAGCTTTGTATACAAGAGCACTTGAATATTGAGAAAAAAAATCCCAGCCCGGTCCAGATTAAGCCCATAAGTCTGATATTAGCCCATATGTCCACCAATCTATAGACTCCTCTTCAGACTCAAGAATCACATGCAATCATGCCAAATGCAGGACAATCACAAACAAGTGGGTAGAAAGCCTTGTGATCCAGTGGTGGTGTAAGTATCTCAGTACTGGCAGGGGTCTCCGTGGTTCCTCCAGCTCAGGGCACTAGCATAGTTTATGTGTCTTCTCAGTTGCAATGTCTTGCATAGAGTGAGCCAAAAGAGAGAGATGGTGTCTCCGCCTCCAAGGAGGAATACCAGAGTTCCCAGAATTCTCAGGAGAAAGCCAGGCCCCACAGAAGCCACATTGACCATGATCTGATTGACAGGCTAGACTCCACCCCTTCACTCTTAATCCTCTCACATTGACAAATGATTTTATAACTACCATAGATTTCATGTTACTTGGATCCACAGTCAATCTCTTGGGAGCAACAGTCAAGAAATCATAGGGCACATTGTATTGGGCAAGTTGTACAAGACCTCTCTCTCTAAAATGTTAGAAAGCAAAGATGTCATATTGAAGACTAAGGTGCACCTGACCCAGCTATTGTGTTTTTAATCATCTCATATGCACATGCAAACTAGACATTGAAAAAGACAGACTGATGTATTTAGACTATGATATTGGCAAAGAATATTGAAAGTACCATAAACGTCCAAAAGACCCAATAAATCTGTCTTGCAAGAAGTGTAGCCAAAATGTGGGTTCTCCCCATGGCTCCTCCAGCTCCAAGGCTCTGGCTCCATCAGGTTGTGTCGGAGTGAGTGTGTGTCTTGCCTCCAGCAAGCTGTTTATCTCCTTAGTACCTCCAGATGAGATAATCAAACTGTGACCTGATTGACAAGCTAAACTCCACCCCTTTGCTTTTAAGTATCAAATTGACAACAGATTATGTAACTACCACACTTTCTAAGAGAAAGGACCTAGAACCTTGAGGAGTCTTAGAAGTATTCCTCATGTGGGCTGAACCAGGGGCTTTACAGAGCTCAACTAGCAAACCCTCACTGAGATACGCAGTGATATCGGGAAAGCTGGATTCCCTAGTATTAGGTCTTCCCTGACTTTATAAGATGGAACAGTTGCTGAACTGTTTTTTTCTCCTTTACTGCACCCTAGTACTAACCTATTAGCGACTCCTGCTCCAGTACTTTATTTCTATGGGGCTTCTGACTTTGAATACTCAATCTGCAGGAAGCCAAGTCAAATTTGACTGATGATAGTACTGCCGACTCTGGGGAAGAGAATACCCAGACTCCTTTAGAGCTTGCCAGAGAAGGAAGCCTGCGTATGGACTGGCTGAGGCAGTGGATTGCTGCCACTTCCCAGGACCTCCAATTATCAGCTCTTACTCACCAGTTTCCTCGAACTTTAAATCATTTACCATTTTGCTGCAGGGAGACATCATTTCGTGTTTACGCGCCTCTAAAACAAGAGTAAAAAAATCCGTCCTCTGCAGAATTCAGAAACCTGCTCCCCTCCCCTCAAACTGCTGATACTTGGTTAGTTTACACCAAATGGACCCAGGAACGGTTAGCATTTTTCTTTTATATATTTTTTAGTAGTTATGCAATGAATGCATTCCTTTATTTTGGAAGTATGTAACAATTTTACTGGTAACTGGTCCAGAAGAGTGAAAGAGTTCTGAATAACTTTAGGAAACCCTCAAAAGTAGCTCAAAATGTTTGTTTCAAAGGCAGAAGCCTCAGGGCATAGAGGGGCATTGTTGCGCCACCTGTTGGTCTTTTAAGTTATGATTTGAAAGGACGCACTTTGTGCTGCAATTCCCGGAATTCCCACAGTTAGGTATGATAGCTCACCAACTACCATAAGATGAAATGTCTTCAGAGTTTTGAAATGAACACACTTCTGGTTATACCTTGCTTTTGTAGAATTGCAAGTGAAAAACTCTTGGTCAGTTATTAATACCTATGTAATAATTACAGTATTGGAATTACAGCAGTGGAATTAAATATTTAATCTCATTTCATTTTGAATATAGCCAAAAGTCATTATCATCATTATCATTATTATTATTGCATGGAGTTGTTCCAGATGTAAAGTTGGATTTTCATGCAGGGAGAAAAAGGAAATTGGCCCTAAGAGTACTAAGAAAATCTACTTGAAAAGTGGATTAAATTCCTGAGTGCTTTTCCTTTACTGCTTTATTAACTCATTAAGGTACACAGAACCCTTAGGTCCATCCCATTCAGGTTTTCTTTTCCAGTTAGCACTTTCATTGTGAAACATCAGGGTTCCTTTAGAACAGCTCTTACACAAACAGTTGCGCACTGAAAGCCTTCCAGCCCTCCCTTGTGTTTTGGATGGGCCCATTGCCCTGAAAGACATGACCTCGCCACCCCCTCTTCTAGAGCAGCACTGCCCAAATTCTGGGGTATACCCATTTCAGCTTGTTGAGTGCATTTCTAACAAACTTTCCCAGGTGATGCCTTTGCTGTGTGTGGGAACCACATTTTTTTGAGTAGCTGGGCTGTAAAGGTAGGTCTTACTAATTAGGCTATGCATGTGGGAAGTTTGGGCCTGGCTGCAATGGCTGTCTGTTTTCATTCATCGTCCACCCACCTAACTTTGAAGAAGAAAGATGTCTATGTATTTTGCCTGTAATTTCTTTCTTCCAATCCCTGCCCTATCCCTCCCCTTCTGAAAAGGATGGAGAATGCTTAGTGTAGCTTTGGCAGGAGACCCTCTGAGGATTTGATTTTTAAAAACCATTGAAGAGGTGTAAGGGAACTTGCTTACTGGACAAAGGAGGAGTTGCTGGGCCTCGCTCAGGTTATTGTTGCCCTGAGCAGGCACTTGGGAGCAGTTTACCGAGAGCCTCCAGAGAATGACCTAGGTAAATAACCACTAGAGAAATGGATGTAGAGAGAAACCAGTGTGTTGCCACTCTTTAATGTGTCGCCAGACCTTTCTTTACCTTCTGTAGGAAGGTAAAGAAGAAGTCTCCAGAGCTTGGTATTTGTATGTAGATCCTGAGTACTACACCTAACCTTCTGAACCACTCTTCCTCCAGGTAAAGTCATGAAGCTGAGCCCCAAAGCCGAAGAAGTAGCCACATTCTTTGCAAAAATGCTCGACCATGAATATACCACTAAGGAAATATTTAGGAAAAATTTCTTTAAAGACTGGAGAAAGGTATACTATAGCCCATTCATTAATATTTTAGCATCTTGCAAGAATGTTGACTGAGTACTGAGTACTAAGTTATAATTTTGCCTCCAAATCCCTGATAGCAAAATTTGGATTTTATGATACTAGCAGTTTATCTTTTTTCAGTTTGTATGTTGTATTATAGAGGTTTTGTATTCCGTTGGAGTACCTATCTCATTCTTCCCCTCTCACATGGTGTTGGTTTTTATTGTGGTTGTGTGCCATCAAGTCACTTCATTTCTCAGCATCTGTGAAAGCTGTAGAGCTGCCCATAGATGTCCTAGGCTGTCGTCTTCTCAGAGCAAATCACCAAGTCTTTTCTTTCATCAAGGAGCTCATGTATTCAAGCCACCAACTTTCCAGTAAGCAGCCAAATGTTTCAACCATTGTGGCCCCAAAGCACCTTCCTATGGTTTTAGTGAGTACTCCATTCTCAGACTGTGCAAAACAAACCTCAGCTCCAATTGAGCAAAGGGAAATTTGTCTGTACAGGTCTGCCTTCTGCTGTTGTTACATAGAGAGATGCTAATCTAATGTCCCATTCTGTATGGGTTCTTGATTACTTATGTTAGGTACTTTGTTACTATAGCTGTGTAGCTGATTTCAGAACATTCCCATTAAGCATGGTAGATAGAGGCCAAGCTGAAGTGTATTTTCTGAACTTGTTCATGCAAGTAAAGTTTAATAAGTAATTAAGCTAAGGGGTTGTTTCTAAGAGAGAACTATGTATAGGACCCATTCTCTTGTAACTTCAGTGGTACCTATTCATAGTTCTTAAGCTGGGATCCTCATCTTTTGGACTCTGTGGTTGTGTACTAGGGAGCCTAAGAAGCTACATAAGAGTCTTTTTTTGGGGGGTGGTGGTGGTGGTGGTGGTATGATTTGAAACATAATTTATAGTAAATAAGTATTCTATAATAGCACAAAGCAATACTTTTTTTCTCCCAAAAACCACACACTAATCCAGACACCTAGAGAAAGGATGCTTCATGTAATTGCAAAGAAACAGAGACTTAGACGATCAGCCATTTTTAATTACCATCCCTTCCCACTTTAAATAATCTCTTAAGTTTTAATTGTTGTGAAAAATATACTTAATAAATACTATGCCATCAAATTGTACAGCCATTCTTAGTGTCCTTTTCTATATTGCTTATCACTATTAACATAAAACTGTTCCCAAAGCAGACATCCCCTTTCCTACTCTTGGTTACTAGCTTTGGTTTCTGTATATTTGCTTCTTTCGTACAAGAAACAATGCGTTATTGCCCGTCTGCCCCGCATGCTGCATCTCAGGTTCATCAGTGTTGGGGCCACCATCAGAACTTCACTTCTGTCTTTGGAGTATAGTATTCAATCATATGCGTACACCGTGTTTTGCTTATGCATTCACTTTAATAGACATTTTAGTTTTCCTCACTTTCTGACTCTTATGGAAAATGCTGCAGTGAATGTTACTGTACAGGTTTCTGTGTGTGTTCCTGCCTCACGTCTTCTGGGTCCTAGCATTGGGATTGCTGGTTTATAGGACAATTCTTGTTCTTTTTTTTTTTTTCTTTTGAGGAACTAAACAATTTCCACTAGGGTTGTAATGTCTTCCCCTTTCCTATTCTTCTGACTAGGAAATGACTAATGAAGAGAAGAATATCATCACCAACTTAAGCAAATGTGATTTCAACCAAATGAGCCAGTATTTCAAAGCCCAGTCAGAAGCACGAAAACAGATGAGCAAAGAAGAAAAACTGGTATCTAAGAATTTTTTAAGCCTCTGGGGGATTTTGGAATTGTGATTGGTTCATCTTATGTACTTCCAAGAACTGGTTTCAATATTTTAAAGGACTTAATATGTGCTTACTTTTATGTTTCATTGTGTGGTAGCACCCACCTAGCTTAGTTTTAAAATTAATGAGTTACTATAGGAATGATAGCACCCTGGTGACATAGTGGGTATATGTTGCATAAAGTTAGTTGTATGAAACCACCTGCTGCTCCTTGAGAGAAAGATGAGGATTTCTGCTCTATATGAAGAGTTGCGGTCTTTGAAACCCACAGGGGCATTTCTGTCCTGTACTATAGGGTCACTGTGAGTCAGCATCGACTTGATGGCAGTGAGATTGGGTTTGATAGGAATGAGAGTTGTCTCAGACTCTGCTCTCAGTATTATCTCCAGTATCACAAATTACTGAAATTTGGTGTATTTACTTTGTAGTGTTTTTAAACTTAACAAAGGTAAAACCATTTGCTGTAGAGTCAGTTCCGACTCCTGGTGATCTCATGTGTCAGAGGAGAACTCTGACCCACAGACTTCTAAATGATGAGTTTTATCAAGTAGCTCATTAGGCCTTTTTTTAAGGCCCCTCTAACTGGACTCTGCCTTTCTGTTAGTAGGCACACATTTTAACTGTTGGCACTGCTAGGGACTCCTAGCATCTCACCTTGTGAAAGCCCCTATCAAGGACTCCTGCTTCCAGAAAGTTCTGAGTCTTCCCACCCACAAAAAAAACTCACTTACATCTATACAGTCATGGAGTAAATTCTGACTTACAGCAACACAATAGGACAGAGTAGAACTGCCCCTTTGGGTTTCCCAGAAGACTGTAACTCTTTGTGGAGGCCTCATCTGTCTTCTGAGGATCAACTGATGATTTCCAACTGCTGACCCCTATGCCCTCAGAGCTCCTTCCATAAAGCAGTACGACTTAATGAAATTGAATCAGAAAATATAAGAGTGATGAACAGTCAATAGAAGGCTAAAAAGCCCCAAATCCTTTTATCTGTCCTCTTTGGCATAGAATTACAAAGTGTGCGATGTACATACCCATTTACTTGGGAAAGAATCAGTGACGGATTCATCATATGAGACTTGATAACCCATGTGAAATAAATAAACTGTTCCACCGAATGCCTCTGAAGCCAATGAGAAAAGCCTATGAGAGACTTCTGTTAGACACCCCCCTCCGTGTGTGTGTGTGTGTGTGTGTGTCTGTGTCTGTGTCTGTGTCTGTGTCTGTGTCTGTCTTTCGCGCTCTCGCTCTCGTGCTCTCTTAATTAAAGGGCATACATCCTTTAAGATTTTCACCTCTAATTCAAGTCAATCTTTGTCAGTCCTTTGGGGGATTTTAATGTAAATTCAAAGGGGAAATCCTCTAGAACATTCCTTTATTTCAATTATTTTCTAAGCAACTTTTTAGACCTTTCTCTACCATGACCTGTTCCTCCTCCCAAGAGAAAATATGTCAACATACCCAGCAGTTTGAATGTATTTTGAGTACTTTATTGCTATCTTCCAGAAAATCAAAGAAGAGAATGAAAAATTACTAAAAGAGTATGGCTTCTGTATTATGGATAACCACAAAGAAAGAATTGCCAACTTCAAGATAGAGCCTCCTGGGCTTTTCCGAGGCCGTGGCAACCACCCCAAGATGGGCATGCTGAAGAGACGGATCATGCCAGAGGATATAATCATCAACTGTAGCAAGTGAGTACACAGTTCATCCTGTGGCTTGGGCTGAGGTGGGGGGGTTTCTTGGTTGTTAGTGATATGTCCACATAGAGGAGGTGGGGGGGAAACATTTTGGAGTATAA